CATCTTGAAACTGACATGATTAGTTTGAAACTGACAGCGGTGTTTCCAAGGCTAGAAATGTGCTTTGAAGTTTGGTAAACATTTTGTTTGAGTGGAGACAGTCTGTCTGGAAATGTATCCATTCACGAACCAGCACAAACCTCCACGAACTGCTTGAAAGATCATGGAAAGTTTGTGCCAGTTGACCTGCCACAAAGTTCAGTTCACAAACCATGAACTGGTCAAAAATTGTCATTTCTTGAATGCTCAATGTTTTTGAATCATTTAATAGTACAAACAATATATTTCAGTGTTTGACATTTAAAAGTTGTTTTTCAACATTATAAAAATCAAACTAACACCAAGTAGGTTTCGACAACATTTGACACGTGACACACAAAATAATTCAGTATTTTGATAACTTTCATTGGAGCTTTGGGACCACCTGATATTATTGGGGACAAACATCAACAAAGGTGCACAGCTTCATGAAGCTTGCTAGGCAACCAAACAAAGTTGGTGTCAGAATAATATGGTGTAACCTTGATGTCAGCTTTTCCTGAGCCCTTTGGAGGACAGATGGGATATAATTGCTATCAACGCATTGTTTCATTATGAGCTTTCAAGCATAGCTGGCTGGCTGTTATTTAAACAGAATGCTGGCCCATAGATGAACCCTGACTAGTCCACCAAGGCAATTCTTAGATTCTTCCACAGCATCTGGTATTTGGAGATACACTGCATCAGAACATAGAGGTTCCATTATCAGCCTATGAGTAATGGGTCCATCTTTCATAAATCGAAAATCGCCTGTGCCTGCAAATCTTTTACAGTATTTTATGACAATCAACTCCCTTTGTTAATCATGGATTGTATGAAGAAGTATTTCCCTATGCTTGTTCTGAAGAACTTACTGCGAGTTAGTTTTGTTCAAGAACTCAGGGTCCTATGGTTTGGAAAAAGTGAAAGGGGAGAGTATCAGGGAAGGGAGGAAAGAGAGAAATGCTCTTGAATAGAAAAATTGCTTTCTGCTTTCTATATCCACATCCCTTCTTCTGTGATTACATTATGATAACATGCTGTGTCTTGTTTCCTGTTGCAAGCCAAATGGTGAGGCCACATGGCCTCAATAGCCATGCCATAACAAATCACCCGCTCACAACTTTAATACCAGCCGCTCACAAAGTAGAATTTCTGCTCACAGGGCTCCACAGCTTAGAGGGAACATTGCCACACACCCCTGCTGCTCATGATTGGCCGAATGGCCACAGCTAATCATGATTAGATTGGGGTATAATTGTTTGATCCCTATGGGAGTGAGTCTCTTCTTGTTCTCAAGTCTCTTGTTCTCTTAGCTCTCCCTTCCTCCTCTTGTCATTGTCTGTTTTATGACACCTGAAATGCTGTCTCTTGGGAAACAAAGACCTGCTTTGTGACTTGGAGCACATGGGTGTGCAAAGATGGGATTTCCCTTCAAAATCCCTTGGACTATGCTGGACTGTTGGATGTTCCTGAATTGGTAACTATGTATCTTTAATGTGTAGTTAAGGCAAAGAGCCATAGGTTTTTCTTGTTTTCAGTAATCTCTTATAGCCTGTTGCTATGCTTTGTACTAAATACAAATCCTTCTTATTGCGAATTTGTCTCTGATGTTGTAACTTGAATTCCAAGTCTAAGTCTTGTGCCTCACACTCACCATATAAGCTACCTTGGTAAGAGTAAAAGTGTGCATCTCTGGATTGAGTTGCTAATGTGTTCTGTCCCAGATGCCAACTAAGGGCTGAATCTCTCCCTTAGGAAAAGCAGGGACTATTGAAAAGAGATTCTGGTGGCAAATTGTTCTGAAAACCAGAGAGGGTATAGACCATCTCGTGGTTTGTTGTTTAATGTACTGAAAAGTACAAGATTCCCTCTCATCCCTGGACTGGCCTAGGTGGGTTAATCCTGTACAGCTCTCTCTTCAATATTTGTACACTATACATTCTTTTATAAATATTTATCTTGTATCCCCAGTCATCCTTTTCCCCCTAATCTAAAAAAGGCCCATTAAATCCTTAAGCCTTTCTTCATAAGGAAAATATTTCATTCCACTGATTGCTTTAATTGTTCTCTTCTGTACCTTTTCCTGCTCTACAAAGTCTTTTTTTGAGATGGGACATGAATTGCATTCAGGGTCCACAATCCAGTGGAAATTGAAACACGCTTAAACCCATTTGTCTCGATAGGCTTTTAAGAAGGGCTAGCTCTGTGTCGGGTTATGGAAATGATTTCATACGTGAGTTCAACATAGATGTTTATAATGGTATGGTCAAATCTATTTACAGTCTCCTGATTATTCTTAATATTGAAAAGAAGAGGAGGAGGAGGAGATTGGATTTATACCCCACCCTTCACTCAGAGTCTCAGAATGGCTTACAATCTCCTTCCCTTCCTCTTCCCACACCCTGTGAGGTAGGTGGGGCTGAGAGAGCTCTGAGAGAACTGCTCTTGAGGAAACAGTTCTGAGAGAACTGAGGCTTGCCCAAGGTCACCCAGCAGCTACATGTGGAGGAGTGGGGAATCAAACCCGATTCTCCCAGATTAGAGTCCACGTCCCTAAACTTCTTTCTGTGCCTCTGCACTCTGAGCTAACATGCATTTTTATTCCTGCAATCCCTGCTGGTGCCTAGGACAGGAGTCCCTAATGTGCTGCCTATGGGCACCAAGGCACCTGCCAACAACATTCCTGATGTCCACCAAATGCTTTCAGAAAGGGGGAGCAGATGGGGAACTTGCCCAGCAGGGGTTCTGACTGGCTACTGGAGATCTGATTGTCTGGACACATTAAAACAGCATTGTTTCAGCAGCAGCTCCCACCAAAGTGTTGGTTTTATTCTCTCTCACTCCTCTTTCCCAGTGTATTTTTTAAAAATTACCCCTCTTCTCCTCTGCACTTAGACTTCCTCTCTGTGTGTGGCCCCGCCTCCTGTGGCAGCCATTTTGTAGTTGGAGCCACCTCTCGTAGCAGCCATGTTGTGGTTGCACCCCCACCACCCTGTGTCAGACTTTCAAAGGTGCCCCCAGGCTCACAGAGGTTGCAGACCCCTGGTCTAGGAGAATCAGACTCGGTTCAGACATCATGCAAAATGGTGGCTAACCAGACTATGGTTGGTGTGATGGTTTGAGCATGAGCCACTCAGGTAACAGTGGCTAATTGTTGTTGTTCAGTCACACAGTCGAGTCCAACTCTTCACGACCCCATGGACCACATCACGCCAGGCCCTCCTGTCTTCCGCCATCCTCCGGAGTTTGCTTAATTTCATGTTCGTTGCCTCGATAACACTGTCTAACCATCTCATCCTTTGCTGTCCCCTTCATCTTTGACCTTCAATCTTTCCCAGCATCAGGGTCTTCTCCAGTGAGTGCTCTTTTCTCATTTGGTGGCCAGAGTATTTGAGCTTCAGCTTCAGTATCTGGCCTTCCAGGGAACAGTCAGGGTTGATTCCTTTTAGGATTGACTGATTTGATCTCCTTGCAGTCCAAGGGACTCTCAACAGTCTTCTCCAGCACCATAATTCGAAAGCATCTATTCTTCAGCGCTTCCTTATGGTCCAGCTCCTGCAGCCATACATTACTAAACAGTGGCTAATTACGCTGTGTCAAACCGTGGTTTAAACCTGGTTTCTATCTTGCCACGGAATGTTCAGGACAGTAATGTTCAAGGAGGCATTTTGAAATAGAGATTAGAACTATAGTAGAATGGAATAGCCCAGGAGGTCACCTTTATAACGGAACAAGAGTGTAGTCCACTGCAATTATTATTTCAATGTTTTTACTGCATTATCTTGCACCTGGCCATCCACCTTCTGTATTACAGTATACCTTGCGTTTGATAGCATGTTTTTCACCCGTTTCTCTAACACTGCACTCCTAGTCTATTGCACTCTTCATTAGTTGCCTTGCGCAGTCTGTCTGCACTGGTTTGGAATAGCCCAGGAGGTCACCTTTAGAACGGAACAAGAGTGTAGTCCACTGCAATGATTATTTCAATGTTTTTACTGCATTATCTTGCACCTGGCAATCCACCTTCTGTATGACAGTATACCTTGCGTTTGATAGCATGTTTTTCACCCGTTTCTCTAACACTGCACTCCTAGTCTATTGCACTCTTCATTAGTTGCCTTGCGCGGTCTGTCTGCACTGGTTTTATACCCTGCAATCCACCTTGGATCACAGCAAGAAAGACAGGCTATGAACAAAGTAAAAATAAACTTAAAAACAAGCAAACACAGTCTTAAGCATGGTTTTGTGTGATGTGTGAATGTGGAGATCCTGGCTCAATCCTGGTTTGTTCCTTGGTGCCATCCTTGCTGCAATGCAAGCTAGAGATGCCAGCCTCCAGGTGGGACCTGGGAATCCCCTGGAATTACAGCTCATCTCCAGACTATGGAGATCAGTTCTCCTGGAGAAAATGGATGCTTTGGAGGGTGGACTCTATGGCCTTGTACCGCACTGAGGTCCCTGTTCCACCCAGGCTCCATCACCCAAATCTCCAGGAGTTTTCCAACCTGGACCTGGCAACCCTACCCCCTCCATGCCCCACCCATGGCGAAGGGAGACCCGGGCACTCTAATGGAAGCCATGGTATAAGAGCTGCCCCCTGGTTTCACAAACTAATATCTCTTAGAATAAAACAGGGGCTTTGTCAGCAGAGTGGGAATGGCTTCCCAGTAAACACACACAGGGCTGGGCTGCAAAACTAGTTCAAGCACTCCAGTGTTGCCGGAGCCGGGGGTCAGGCTACTTTTCATTTGGCTTTGCTTTTGTGCTTCGCTGTGTTAACATCACAGCATTCCACTGCTGAATCCGGGCTGTGTATTAACTGTCCCTCTTGTGCACCGGCTGGAATGGAATCTGGCTCCCATTCCCACAGATTTGCTGGCTTTGTGGGGCTAACAGGTGTTAAAACTAATAAAAACTCTGTGACTCAGCTGAGCACATATGACACCAACAAGAAGCCACTCCCTGTACACTCTGGCACCATGAGTTACTGGCAGGATGACACAAGAGAATATGAAGGTAAGAAACATAGAAATAGAGCTGGAAGGGACCTCAAGGGTCATCTAGTCCAGCCCCCAGCACAATGCAAGAAATTCACAAATACTGCTTCCCCACTCCCCCCAGTGATGCCTGCTCTATGCCCAGAGGAAGGCAAAAACAACAACAACAACAAAAAACAACCCAACCCTCCAGGATCCCTGGACCAATCTGACCTGGAAGAAAATTCCTCCAGGTCAGCACCACTGCCAAGAGTGCCCTCAACTGGTCTGACACAGATCTGGATTGGGCTGAGGCTATTAGTCTGGGTGAGGAAATAGAATCTGGGGAACTGCTAGATGGCTCCATTTCAGCATGCAGGTTCATAAAGGGAGAGATAGAAGAGGAGGAGGAGGAGGAGGAGGAGACTGGGTTTATACCCTGCCTTTCACTCAGAGTCTCATTACGGCTTACAAACTCCTTCCCCTTCCCCTCCCCACAACAGAAACCCTATGAGGTAGGTGGGGCTGAGAGAGCTCTTTCAAGAACTGCCCTTTCAAGGACAGCTCTTGAACTATGGCTTGCCCAAGGTCATCCAGCAGCTGCAAGTGGAGAAGTGGGAAATCAAACCCGGTTCTCCCAGATTAGAGTCCGCGCACTTAACCACTACACCAAACTGGCTATTAGTATACATACTAAAGAGGCTCTTGGTTCAAAGCACTGGTATCCCTCCCGAGATACCAGCCGGTCACTTTGCCTGTTCTGGTTTAGTGGTTCCTCCATGATATTTTTTCTCGAATATCCCTGCTTCATGAACAGGCGAAGGTTTTTGAAGACCAGAGGGTCTTGAACCGCATTTAGCGTCTCTTGTTGCTCCCTGATAGTTAACTAGCTGCCTAGTCACGTGGTGTTTGGCCCAAGGCTCACTTAGGCAAGTGCTTGAATAAAAAAAGCCCGGTGCTATTTTTAGTTCCTACACAATAAGGCACTTGATTTTGGAGCCTGGGGGGAGGGGGGGAAGCCGAGAAAAGGAGGCATTGGAACTAACAGAGGATCTTTCCAGGGAGATCACTAAGCTAAGAGCAAACAATAGATAAAAGTAAAGCCTCTTGAATGCACAAAATGCTAGTTTCCCCCCCCCCCCTGTCTACCTCATACCGCTTCTTAACTTATTAGGTCTAAGCAGATTACTAACATATAAAAAGCTAGACCACATTTGAATGGCTGCAAAAAAATCTATCGCAAACATATAAAATTTCGCAGCTGAAAGAGTGGTAGGTCTGCTATTATCTTCTTTAAAAGAAGTAATGTCTACATAGGATCTATACTTTGGAGCAAAGGAAGAATTAAAAGACTTCTGGGCTCAGTAAAGTAATTACATTCAAAGGGCATGTGATACAGGGTGTCTACACACTACATGCACCACAGTCACATACTCTATCTTTTTTTGTTTGTTTGCCATCTTCTGGGCATGGAGCGGGGGTCACTGGGTGTGTGGAGGGGGAGGTAGTTGTGAATTTCCCACATTGCGCAGGGGGTTGGACTAGAAGACCCTTGAGTTCCCTTCCAACTCTATGATTCTATGCGTCTGTGGTATCTGAAGATACCTCCTTTGCAGAACTCTAGATGGTCAGGCATTAAGGCACGCCAACATAAAGGCATGCCTATAGTGGGGAACAGTCAAATACGAGCAGGAATCAGGAAGCTATCCAGATGCTATCTCTTCAGCTCGTATAAATCTTTCACCTTTTACTAGCTTTTCTTTTAATGCCATGTCCATTTCTACATAGTGTGCCCAGAGCTCTATTACTTTAATTTGCAGTCTTTTAAAGACATCTTTGGAGCTGCGGTGGCTCAAGTGGTTAAGACGCTGAACTGCAGGCTGTGGAAGGTCGGTAGTTCAGCAGTTCAAGACCCGGGTGCCACATGATGGAGTGAGCTCCCGTCTCTAGTTCCAGCTCCTGCCAGCCTAGCAGTTCGAAAGCAAGAAATTGCAAGTAGATAAATAGGTACCACTTCGGTGAGAAGGTAACAGCGTTCCGTGCGCCTTGGTGTTTAGTCATGCCGGCCACATGGCCACGGAAACGTCTTCGGACAGCGCTGGCTCTTCGGCTTTGAAACGGATATGAGCACCGCAACCCTAGAGTCAGACTCGACTGGCTTTCAAGCAAGGGAACCTTTACCTTTAAAGACCTCTAAGCTTTGCTTTTGTTTTTCTTCTCACACTGTCCTGTGGCAGAGCAAGCCCGTGCGCGCTTACTTGAAGCCCCACTGAGTTTAATGGGGTCTCCTCCCCAGTAAATGTACCTAGGGTTGCAGGGTGAGCCACTCGGAGCAGGGCCTACCACCAGATTACTCTCCCACACCCCTCCCCCCTGAAATTAATCGGATCCACGTCCTATGATAGAAGCGGGGGTAAGTTTAGCACACTCTACAGTTACTGCTACTATCTGATTAAGACCTTCAGGGTTTTCATTCCACAAATTCCTTTCCTAACCATCAGCTATTAAATCTCTCTCTCTCTCTCTCTCTTTTTAAAAATACCTTCCTTCCTTCCTTCAGATCCTTATGCAGGAACTGAGTCAAAGCAGCAAAAATGTATAAAGAGGCACTCAAAAACACCCATAACAACTCCCCCCTCCAGAACAATTGTTGAGACTTCAGAATGGTTTTGCAGGAGAGAGGAGTCCTATCTCTTTCGGTTGCTCGTGAAGCCTTGTGCCTTGGCCTGTCTCTCTCTGTCGATCTCAGTGCCTTTAAAAAGCAAAGTGTCCCGCACTCTCTCTCCCCCCCCTCCCCTCAATCAAACTTGAATGGAACTAGCCACGACGCCCCTGTGGGTGATGACAAACTCTGTAGTCTGAAAGATGCCTCCCCACCACCACCACATTGTTTTGTTTTATGGCTGGAGAGAGAGGGATCTTGTGTGTGTGCAGCCTGGCTCACAGTCAGTCCCCCCACCCCCCTTTGGATTCTCTGATTCATTGCTCCCCTGACCTCCACTTAGTCTCAAGCTGTGATCACTGTAGTGCCGCGGCACTTCCAAAAAGGAGAACTTCTCCCTGGAGTTCCGGGTCTCCCTTCCCTCTCCGGGCTCCCCCAGGATTCCACCTTTGTCCTGCCCTGGGGCGCCTTCCTTCCCTACCTGAGCCCAGCAGCTGTGTGTGTGAGCCGGTGGAGCATCGGTGTGTGAGAAGTTATTGCCATTCTTGTGCAATGGAGTCATGGGCGAAGCGGCAGCCAGCGCAGAGATAGTGGGAGTGCAGGAGCAAGAGACGGGGCTGGGCAGAGAAGGAGCGCCGAACAGCAGCCGTCCTGGCTGGCCGAACTGGCCGAGTCTGTAGTTCCCCTGGAGTGCCTGTCTGAGGAAGGTGAGAGTTCAGACTTGCTTTAGATTGCTTTCAAGCATGTTTTCCGCCAGCTGGGAAAGTGTGTGTGTGTGTGGGGGGGAGGTCAGTCGCCTTCGTAGTTCCATCTAGTCCTTCCTTATGCAGCAGATAGGACGTTGAGGGTTTGGGGAGGCGAGAGATGTCAGATGATGGATTTGTTATTAGTTATGGTTGGGGGGGTGTTGTTGTTGTTTTGAAGCAATGGCATTTTCAAGTGAAATTAGTAGCGATCTGAAAATTCTTCGCGAGCTGAAGCACCCGAAATTCGCAGCATTCGCTGGTAACCTGTAAATTGTACCTCAGTTTCGAAATATCTCTCCTGCACTGTTTATTAATCACTCAAAGTTTCGAACCCAGATCCAGATCTGGGTGAGAAACTTGTGGCATTCTCTCTCCTCAGCCCCCCTCCTAGTCTCTCTCCCTCTATTATGTTCAGTGTTTACTATTATAGTTTGACATTATTCATAGTAAAATTAAGTCCTGTAACCTGGAACACTGGGTTATATTGCTATTTATAGTGTTTGTGAACCCCAAAGGCACTTCCCTGAATGCTTGAGGGCATGTACTTCCATATGACATTTGCAGCGCTAAAGTTTCTTAACGTTTTGCGACATCTTTGCTGTGGTTTTATGTACTGGAATGAAAAGTAAGCTGATAAACCCCAGTGTGTATTGCTTTTATTGCAATACATGATTCAGGCACAGCACATTCAAGGTCTCCTTTTTGAAATTTGGGTATAATTGCCTAACTAGGAGAAACTGGACTTTTGTATGAAATAAGATCTCAGCAAAGACAGTCGTTTGGAGCCCCATATATGCAGAGAACTCAGTTCTGCCAACAGAAAATCCAAAACTTTGTGATTGGGGGGAAAATATTATGCAGAGCAAGAAACTTGCACACAAGTATATTTTGTAGTTGTGCCACAAAGGCAGCCGTGGAGGCCAGTACTTTATCATATTTGAATAACTAGTTTGGATTTCCCTTCCAATATTTGGTTTTGTTTCTTCTTTTGCTTATGGTGGCTTAAGTGAGGGAGATTATTACATAAATTGGTGGATAAGCCCAACAGGTGTGTAAAACAGAGGGGGGGGGTAAACTGCCACAGACTTGGATGAGAAATAGCTTGGCAGATCACAGACAACAGTGCAGAACTCTAGTGGGGAAAAATCCCCCCAAAGAATCGAAACTCACTTTGATTTTGCTAGGGTCTCCCTATGAACCCCCAACCATCCCACCGCTATCTCCAGTTGCTTCCACTGCCATCCCAGCTATAGAATTTGCTAGGCTGTCCCTATGAACCCTCAACCATCCCACCGCTATCTTTCGGTTGCTTCCAACTACCGCCATACCTCTCACAGCTTCCCCCCAAATCAGTTACCTATCTTTTTGTTGTTCGGTCGCACAATCGAGTCCGACTCTTCGTGACCCCATGGACCAGATCACGCCAGGCCTTCCGGTCTTCCACCATCCTCTGAAGTTTGCTCAACTTCATGTTCGTTGCATCTATGACACTGTCTAACCATCTCATCCTTTGCCGTCCCCGTCTTCTTTGACCTTCAATCTTTCCCAGCATCAGGGTCTTCTCCAGTGAGTGCTCCCTTCTCATTTGGTGGCCAAAGTATTTGAGCTTCAGTTTCATTATCTGGCCTTCCAGGGAACAGTCAGGGTTGATTTCTTTTAGGATTGACTGATTTGATCTTCTTGCAGTCCAAGGGACTCTCAAGAGTCTTCTCCAGCACCATAGTTCAAAAGAATCCATTCTTCGGCGCTTGGCCTTCCTTATAGTCCAACTCTCGCAGCCATACATGACTACTGGGAATACCATTGCTTTGACCATGCGGACTTATCTTGCATGCACACAAAAGCTTATACCTTGAATTAAACTTTGTTGGTCTTAAAGGTGCCACTGGACTCAAACTTTGTTCTGCTGCTTCAGACCAACACAGCTACCCCACCTGAATCTATCTTGCTGTGGTGATTGAAACTGTGGCTTCTGCAGCGGTGCCAGGAATAGTAGCTGACCAGTCAGGAAATAAGGAGACTCTCTCTTGGTCCTTGTTCCCCTGTCTGGGTGAGAGAAGAGAAGACAGCCTCCCTCTTTCTCTCCTTGCCACCCACTACTTCTCCCAACAGGTGCCTTGCACCCTTTTGACAGCAGCTTGATGTCTTGGGAAATGTAGTCCATCTGATGGATCTGCCTTGGGATCTGCAATTCCCCAGGGCTGCCGGTGCCTTGAAGACTGCCCAAACAGCGTCTAAGGAGGAGAAGGAGGAGAGGAAGAGGAAGAGATTGGATTTATACCCCGCCCTTCCCTTGGAGTCTCAGAGCAGCTTACAAACTCCTTCCCCTTCCCCTCCCCACAACAGACACCCTGTGAGGTAGTTGGGAGAGCACTTTCAAGAACTGCCCTTTCAAGGACAGCTCTGTCTTGTCAGAACTGTGGCTTGCCCAAGGTCATCCATCAGCTGCAAGTGGAGGAGTGGGGAATCAAACCCGGTTCTCCCAGATTAGAGTCTACACACTTAACCACTACACCAAACCAAAGTGGGGGAAGAAGGGGGAAGCAGGCGGACATGCTGTCTTTTTTCATAAAAATGCCAGCCTCCAGGTGGGACCTGGAGATCCCCCAGAATTACAGCTCATCTCCAGACTACAGTGATCAGTTCCCCTGGAGCAAATGGATGCTTGGGAGGGTGGACTCTATGGCATTTTATACCATAGAGGTCCCTGTATTCCCTGGGCTGTACCCCCAAATCTCCAGGAGTTCTCCTGCCTCTTCTGCTGGAAAAAGCACTTGTCCTTAGATTTCCAGTGTTCTAGAGGATACTATGATGATGTGGATAGATCTCTGTTTTCATCCGTTAGTGTAGTGTTAGGGTCTTCTCACCTACAAAGTAGTGTGTCGTGATAGATAATAATGCCGTGATAGGTGTGTGTAGGGGAGACATGATTAATTCCCATGGACTGTAGCTTCAGACCTGTGGCATGTGACACAGAGAGCACTTTGTTTGAACTCCGCTCCTTCTGGCTGGCTAGCTCCTTCCATGAAAGAAAGTTCCAGTGATAGATCAATGAGGATGGTATTTTTTCTTTGGAGGGGTAGTTAATTTACTTTACTTGAGTTTGCTTCTACAGTGTCCCCTTTGGGAGATTATTTTGCTTCCACAATATCCACTTCTGGAGATAATGTCAGTGCTTGAGAAAGATGAGCATTACATACAGCCCTCTACACAAACATCCCGAAAAACACTCCAGGAAAACAAAATCCAGTAACAAGCTGAGAAGGTTAATTAGAATTGCCACGGCCCAAATGTCCCATCCCATTATGCATTGCCTAGTTACTGTAAATGTTTCGGCCTTATTTATGTGCATGAGTGATGCTTAGTTTAAGATTTATTAAGCTCAAAGGGCACGCTTGCTCACTTTCTTCTAATAAGAGCCGTTGCAGCTCAGCTTCTTGCGCCTTTGCCTGGAAAGCAAGAGGGGGGAAAGGCTATTCTGTCATTTGTCACGGTTCTGCTTTAGTTTTGTTTTGTGTAGTCTCGTTATGTTGAATAAATTTAGAGCATCCTACACAGTACAGCTCTGGGTCGCTAACTTTTGCTGCCTTTCAAAAGTCAGCTCTGGCTTTCGAATACACAAAAAAGTAGTAGCAATCCTGAATTGTCAACCAGCTACTAGGGGAGAGGGGATTTGGTCATGGATTTGTCTTGGTAGAGCTTAGGAGAAAGTAAATTTGATGGGGTGATATGAAAATATTGTTGGCTAAGTCTTTTTTAGAATTGGCGGTTCTTTTGCGCTGCTGATGCAAACGATGAAGCCATAGGAGGGAATTGCTCTTCTTGAGCAGGGACGATGCATGGAGAACTGATACCCGGCCTTTGATATGGTATTGATTTTCTTAACACTACAAGGACACTCTTGGGTTGTGTGGACAGAAGCTAGTTGGGCATTATGTCTGTTGATTGTGAAAGTCAGATGCACCTGAGAATTGGCCCACAGAAGACATGGACTTGCGCATTTATACAGCGCTTTGTTAGTATTGGCTGCGGTGGCTCAGAAGTTAAGACGCTGAGTTTGCAGACAGGAAGGTCTGTAGTTCGGCAGTTCGAGACCCTAGTGCTGCGGGATGGAGTGAGCTCCCATCTCTAGTTCCAGCTCCTGCCAACCTAGCAGTTCAAAAGCAAGAAATTGCAAGTAGATAAATAGGTACCGCTTCAGTGGGAAGGTAACAGTGTTCCGTGCACCTTGGTGTTTAGACATGCTGGCCACGTGACTACGGAGAAGTCTTTGGACAGCACTGGCTCTTCAGCTTGGAAACGGAGATGAGCACCGCCCCCTAGAGCTGGATTTGACTGGCTTTTGAGCAAGGGAAACCTTTACCTTGTTAGCATTAGTGATTACAATCAGTGGCATAAAATTGCATCAGTTAAGCATGTATGGGGAAACAACAGAGTAGCTGAAAGAGGGGGGGAAATTAGAAAGCCAGATAGCTCTTTGAGGTATCTGGACACAGTTGGCGTTGAAGGCCACAAGGTCAGGTATTTGCCAGACAAGTGCCCCGGTCACACAGGCTGGATATCGTGGGATATTTGCCAGACAAGTGCCCCAGTCACACAGGCTGGATATCGCGGGGGGGGGAGGCGTGGCTAATTGCCCCGGCGCAGTTTGATGCGCGATTACGCAATCGGATGCGCAGGCGGCGCACCACGGATCCTTCCCTTGGCGCCGGCGGGTAAAGGGCATCTGGAGGCAGCCTGTGGCAAACGTTTACTAGTACCTTGGAGGTACTAGTTTTTTAAGGTGCATTGTCGGCAGTAAGCCACGGGTGCGCTCCACTTCCCAGATGTTGGGGTGTGATTGCGCCCGGATAATCCACCCACCATCCGTGCCTCTCCCGTGGCAACTTTGCCGTGTGACCGGGGCCAAGGTCTTGTTTAGGGTTCCACTGTGATTGGTTGGAACTCTGTCAGTTTATACC